GCACGTGGGCATGCGTGCCCAAAATCCTGAGAAGAGAATGGAGGAGAAGGGATTGGGGCATGGCCAACCCCCCGGGGGGGGGGGTGATTTCTCACTGTCTCTCTATCTGGCTAGCGCACGTGCCCTATAGCGAAAATCTCTCCAAAAAAGAAAAATGTAACACACTCAAAAATGGGGCAGGCCAAACATGAGCCCCCCGTCCTCCCCTGCCCCTGTGCATGTGAGTATGTACACGTGCGTGTTTGTGTATGCGTGTGTATACGTGTGTGTGCATATCTCTGCTTGTGTGGCTGAGTGTGTGTGCGTGTGCGTGTGTGTAGACACACCTTGGCTGCAGGTGCCTGGGGTGGGGCTGCTAGACCTGCCTGCCCAGGAGAGGCCTGGCTCCCCCCCCCTCCTCACACTCCCCTCACCTGGCTGTCCCCTCCCCACACACCTGCTGGGGCGGGGCGGGCTCTGTGGGTGTGGCCACCTGCAGGTCTGCCCTGCCCTACTTCCCAGCGTGCACTTCGGCCTGGCCCAGGGCTGGTGAAGGGACTGCAGAAGCCACAGTGCTGGGAAGAACGGCTGTACGTGTGCGTGTGTGTGCACATGTGCATCAGAGCTCAGGGTGTGTGAGCTTCCTGGGGCGACACAGACCTGGGGCGGGGAGGGGCATCGGACACCTGTGGTCTGCGTCCTGCAGGGGTGGCAGGTGCTCTCTCCCAAGGCTCCGGGGGCGGCTCCCTTCCCTCTCTGCCATCACCCCAGGACAGTCCTTGGCACCGGGCTCCGCCACTCCAGGCTCCTCTGCCACAACGGGTGTGGCCGCCTCCTGTCTCTGTGTCCATTTCTCGCCTAGCTTGTTTGTGGGTTTTTAAAATTGTATTTATTTACTTATTTATTTATTATTTTTAAAATGTGACCAGAGAGAGAGAAAGTGAGAAAGAAACTGCTGGGTCCAGGACTTGAACCAGCCAGCCACGTGGGATTTCAGCACCCCAACCGACCTGCTGGCCCCTTGCTTTTGTTTTTTAATTTGCTACAGGGTGTGTATGCTCACTAGAGAGAGACAGAAACAGTGAGAAGGAAAGTGAGAAGTCACCCCCAAGGGGGAGGGCCACACCACAATCGCTTCTCCGTCCTCCGGGTCTCAGGCACGCGGGCACACACACTTGGCACGTTTTTTTCTTTTCTTTTTTAAAAAGAATTCTTTGATTTATTCCTTCATTTATTTTCATTTAACCAGAGAAAGACAGACACACAGAAGCAAAGTGAGGAACCCAGCCACCGGGTCCGGGATTTGAACAGTGGTCAGCCATGTGGGCTGACCAGCACCTTAACCACCACGCCCTCTGCTGGTCCCCTTGGCATGTTTTCCAGCCACGAGGCCCAGGTCTCCAACAGCAGTCGTGGGAGCTTGCTGCCTTAACCACCAGGTTGGTCTCAAACCTCTGCTTTCCGAGGTTTTTAAAGCGTGTGTGGTTGCTGGGGAAACAGAGACAGAGAGACAGCGAGAAATCCCCCCCCCCCGGGGGGATGGCCACGCCGCAATCCCTTCTCCTCCATTCTCCTCTTGGGATCTTGGGCATGCATGCACACGTGTCCGGCGTGAGTTTAAGCCGCCAGGTCCGGGACTCGAACTGCGGTCGACTACGTGGGAGTCTGGCCATGTAGCTGTTACGCCGTCTGCCGGTCCCCAGATTTCCCCCAAAGCTCAGGGCTGGTCTAAGGCCCAGAGTGGGTGCTGGCGGAGCCTGGAGCCCAGTGGCAGGACCAGGGTCAGCACTTGCTGGGTGGCTGTGGGTTCAGGGCAGGTGGGGCCATCCAGCCTGGCCTCCACCCGCATCTGTTTCCCACCTGTCTCGCCATCCAGGGCCGAGAGCCACAGGCGCTGGCAGGGCCCCAGACCAGGGAGGGGCACGCAGGGTCATCCCGGCCCCCTGGGCTGAGCTGCTGGCCGTGGGGCCGGGCACATCTGATGCAAGTGGCCGTAAGAGTCCCTTCCTGCCGGCTGACTCATGGCTCCTCCATCCCAGCAGCTCAGCAGTCCTGGGGACAGAGCCAGGGCTGGGTGGGAGAGGGCCAGCTGGGAGCCCTGTGTCCAGGCACCCCGGGGTCTGGGCAGCCCTGGGGTCGGCGTCTGGGAACCGCCGCTGCATCGGCCCCAAGGCAGGCATGGGGCAGAGCCAGGTGGCCGCCAAAGGCCCTGCCCCACTGGGGCATATGCTCACGGCTGCTTGTCTCCCTCACCCTCCCACCCAAGCGGCTCCCACCCAAGTGGCTCCCAATGCCAGCCTCCTGCTCCTGAGAGACCTCATTCTGAGAAGGAATTCCAGGGCACTGAGCAGATCCCAGGAGGGGCATGGCACCCCATGGCAAAGGGTCTCTGCAGAGACAGAGTGGAGAACCCCAAGATAGAGATGGTCCTTCCAGGAGGGAGGTGGGGAGGGTCCGAGGAGGGGCTGGTGCAGGTGGAGGAGGGTGCAGGTGCAGGCGGCCCGAGCCGCCCGGGTGTGGGAGTCCCCAGGCCTGGCTCAGACTCCTGACCTCAGGGCTGCAGAGGACCAGGCTCCTGGAGGTGGACACCTGTGCGGGCCGCACCTTGGGGCACCTGCCGGTTTCCCGCGGAGAGGGCCGGCTCCCCCCGCGGGGGGGGACGCAGTGTCCGCTGGGCCCCC